AGCTGCTGGGGCGAAGTGTAGAAATTGGTCGAACCATTCAGTGGATGGCTGGGCGTTTTGCCATAATATTACACCTGAACTATATAATGGGGGGGGTGACATGTCTCCAATGTCTCCAATGTCTTTTGTCTTTTTTGAAAAGATAGGGTGCAGAGACATGTCCTGGAGACATTGGAGACATTGGAGACACAGCTTTTGGAGACATTGGAGACATTGGAGACATTGTGGACATTGGAGACATTGGAGACAAAGCTTTTGGAGACATTGGAGACATTGGAGACACTGGAGACGTAGATGTATGATTGGAGAAGGAGGAGGATCTAGGAGGAGGATGACCCAGGAGGAGGACTCAGGAAGAGAAGGAGGAGGATGAGGACTCAGGAAGAGGACTGAGGAGGACTGAGAAGGAGGAGGACTGAGGAGTACTGAGGAGGATGGCTGAGGAGGATGGCTGAGGAGGATGACTGAGAGGGAGGAGGAGGAGGAGGAAGAGGAAAAGGACTGAGGAGGAGGAGTAGGACTGAGGAGGAGAAGGAGGAGGACCTAGGAGGAGGACCCAGAAAGAGGACTCAGGAGGAGGAGGAGGAGAACTCAGGAAAAGGACTGAGAAGGAGGAGGACTCAGGAGTACTGAAGAGGATGACTGAGGAGGAGGAGGAGGAGAAGGACTGAGGAGGAGAAGGAGAAGGTGGAGGAACTAGGAGGAGGATGAACCAGGAGGGGGACTCAGGAGGAAGAGGAGGAGGACTCAGGAGGAGGACTTAGGAGGAATGAGAAGGAGGAGGACTGAGGAAAACTGAGGCGGAGGAGGAGGACTGAATAGGAGGAGGGGGACTGGGGAGGACTGAGGAGGAGGAGGACTGACGAGAAGGATGAGGAGGAGGACTGAGGACTGAGGACTGAGGAGGAAGAGGAGGAGGATGAAGAGGAGGAAGAGGACCCAGGAAGAGGAGGACTGAAGAGGACGATGAGGATGAGGACTGAGGAGGAGGAGGAGGACTGAGGAGGATGGCTGAGGAGGATGACTGAAAGGGAGGAGGAGGAGGACTGAGGAGGAGGAGGAGAAGGACTGAGGAGGAGAAGGAGGAGGACCTAGGAGGAGAAGGACCCAGGAGGAGGACTCAGGAGGAGGACTCAGGAGAAGGACTCAGGAAAACTGAAGAGTGAATAGGAGGAGGAGGGGGAGGACCTAGGAGGAGGAGGACCGAGAAGGAGGACTGAGGAGGAGGAGGAGGAGGAGAACTCAGGAAGAGGACTGAGGAGGACTGAGAAGGAGGAGGACTGAGAAGGAGGAGGACTGAGGAGTACTGAAGAGGATGACTGAGGAGGAGAGGAGGAGAAGGACTGAGGAGGAGAAGGAGAAGGTGGAGGAACTAGGAGGAGGATGAACCAGGAGGAGGACTCAGGAGGAAGAGGGGGAGGACTCAGGAGGAGGACTTAGGAGGAATGAGAAGGAGGAGGACTGAGGAGAACTGAGGAGGAGGAGGAGGACTGAATAGGAGGAGGAGGGGGACTGGGGAGGACTGAGGAGGAGGAGGACTGACGAGAAGGATGAGGAGGAGGACTGAGGACTGAGGACTGAGGAGGAAGAGGAGGATGAAGAGGAGGAAGAGGACCCAGGAGGAGGAGGACTGAAGAGGACGATGAGGATGAGGACTGAGGAGGAGGAGGACTGAGGAGGATGGCTGAGGAGGATGACTGAGAGGGAGGAGGAGGAGGACTGTGAAGGATGAGGAGGAGGACTGAGGACTGAGGACTGAGGAGGAAGAGGAGGAGGATGAAGAGGAGGAAGAGGACCCAGGAAGAGGAGGACTGAAGAGGACGATGAGGATGAGGACTGAGGAGGAGGAGGAGGACTGAGGAGGATGGCTGAGGAGGATGACTGAAAGGGAGGAGGAGGAGGACTGAGGAGGAGGAGGAGAAGGACTGAGGAGGAGAAGGAGGAGGACCTAGGAGGAGAAGGACCCAGGAGGAGGACTCAGGAGGAGGACTCAGGAGAAGGACTCAGGAAAACTGAAGAGTGAATAGGAGGAGGAGGGGGAGGACCTAGGAGGAGGAGGACCGAGAAGGAGGACTGAGGAGGAGGAGGAGGAGGAGAACTCAGGAAGAGGACTGAGGAGGACTGAGAAGGAGGAGGACTGAGAAGGAGGAGGACTGAGGAGTACTGAAGAGGATGACTGAGGAGGAGAGGAGGAGAAGGACTGAGGAGGAGAAGGAGAAGGTGGAGGAACTAGGAGGAGGATGAACCAGGAGGAGGACTCAGGAGGAAGAGGGGGAGGACTCAGGAGGAGGACTTAGGAGGAATGAGAAGGAGGAGGACTGAGGAGAACTGAGGAGGAGGAGGAGGACTGAATAGGAGGAGGAGGGGGACTGGGGAGGACTGAGGAGGAGGAGGACTGACGAGAAGGATGAGGAGGAGGACTGAGGACTGAGGACTGAGGAGGAAGAGGAGGATGAAGAGGAGGAAGAGGACCCAGGAGGAGGAGGACTGAAGAGGACGATGAGGATGAGGACTGAGGAGGAGGAGGACTGAGGAGGATGGCTGAGGAGGATGACTGAGAGGGAGGAGGAGGAGGACTGAGGAGGAGGAGGAGAAGGACTGAGGAGGAGAAGGAGGAGGACCTAGGAGGAGGACCCAGGAGGAGGACTCAGGAGGAGGACTCAGGAGAAGGACTCAGGAAAACTGAGGAGTGAATAGGAGGAGGAGGGGGAGGACCTAGGAGGAGAAGGACCCAGAAGGAGGACTGAGGAGGAGGAGAACTCAGGAAGAGGACTGAGGAGGACTGAGAAGGAGGAGGACTGAGGAGTACTGAAGAGGATGACTGAGGAGGAGGAGGAGGAGAATGACTGAGGAGGAGAAGGAGAAGGTGGAGGAACTAGGAGGAGGATGAACCAGGAGGAGGACTCAGGAGGAAGAGGGGGAGGACTCAGGAGGAGGACTCAGGAAGAGGACTCAGGAGGAGGACTGAGAAGGAGGAGGACTGAGGAGAACTGAGGAGGAGGAGGATGAGGACTGAATAGGAGGGGGGACTGGGGGAGGACTGAGGAGGAGGGGGACTTGGGGAGGACTGAGGAGGAGGAGGAAGACTGACGAGAAAGATGAGGAGGAGGACTGAAGAGGAGGACTGATGATTGAGGAGGAAGAGGAGGAGGATGAAGAGGAGTAGGAGGACTCAGGAGGAGGAGGACTCAGGAGGAGGAGGACTCAGGAGGAGGAGGACTCAGGAGGAGGAGGAGAACGACTGAGGAGGACTGAGGAGGAAGAGGAGGAGGAGGAGGAGGAGGAGGAGGAGGAGGCTGTGTCTCCAATGTCTCCAAAAGCTGTGTCTCTAATGTCCCCAATGTCCCAAATGTCCCCAATGTCTCCAATGTCTCCAAAAGCTGTGTCTCCAATGTCTCCAAAAGCTGTGTCTCTAATGTCCCCAATGTCCCAAATGTCCCAAATGTCTCCAATGTCTCCAAAAGCTGTGTCTCCAATGTCTCCAATGTCTCCAATGTCTCCAATGTCTTTGTCTTTTTCGAAAAGATAAGGTGCGGGAGACATTGGAGACATGTCACCCCCCCCCCCCCCCCCCCCCCCCCCCCCCCCCACTATAATATACCTGGTGGTTCTGTTACTGTCTTGTAGTTGTTTTGGTCATGTGACCTACTATTTTACAAGCTGATTCATCAACTTGGATAAAATGAGACATTGCATTCTTTCTGAAGAGGAATGGGTAGATTGTGTTGGTAAAGAAACAATAATTGTTGTGGCCATGCCCATATATGGCAAGAAATGGAACGCTCGAAGGTGCACAGAATTTTGCAATAACGACAGCTTTTTGACATATTGAGGGTTAGCAGCACAATTCACAAGTGAACTCAACGACATAATCGAAATCTTGAGCCACTTAAAATCGTATGATTGTTGACCATGAATGGAGATATGACTGCAATGTGCGATGGGTGGAGTAGTTCAAATGTCATGGTAAAGAGAAGAAACGCATCCGTAGTGCTAATATAAGGTCTACTAAGTGGATCCTGAGTACCTGGTCCACTAGCTCTCCTCGGGGGAGACAGCCTCCCTGTTCATCAAGTGTGCTACTTTAATCTTACCACACCTTGCTCCTGATGGTGAAACGGTAAATACTGCTTTCAGGATTGGTGATTATAATTGACTCCCTGTTGATCAAGTGTGCTACTTTAATCTTACCACACCTTGCTCCTGATGGTGAAACGGTAAATACTGTTTTCAGGATTGGTGATTATAATTGACTCCCTGTTGATCAAGTGTGCTACTTTAATCTTACCACACCTTGCTCCTGCTGGTGAAACGGTAAATACTGTTTTCAGGATTGGATCTTATAATGATGGATACAAAAAATCTGGAACACTGTGCTGGCATTGTCTATGACATCATTTCAACTAGTGGAGTTTAAATATCCATATTATTGACAATAGAGATATTTGTAATTCACCATGGTGGTGAAATATAAAAGTAGGGATGGGCCTTTTAATCATAATTATACTTTTTTTAGGATTGGATTTTGGTGGTATTTGCAAAACCTCTGGAATACTGTGCTGGGATTTGCAATTACATCATCCACTAGTGCAGTTTAGATATCCATATTATTAACCATTACCAATAACCAGACAGCAATTTTATTATTGAAGTTTTTACTATCAATCTTGTTCTTGTCTGTCAAGTATCACTCACATGATATTTCATTCATTCAAATTTCTGATTGTTTTTTAATAGACTCAGTGAAGAAATGATTTGATAATATGAGTATTATTAACCTTTACCAATAACCAGACAGCTATTTTGTTATTATTGAAGTTTTTACAATCAATCTTGTTCTTGTCTGTCAAGTATCACTCACATGACACATTACCTAATCCTTGACAAAGCCAGGGTATCACACCAATACTCATCCTCAGTAACACCGACAACTAAATAAGGTAAATAATAAAAAGTAATTTAACTCACAGTAAATCATACTAATAAGTGATTTAACTTACAGAGAGAGTGAAGTTGGTAGTTAGTTGAGGGCTCCTCTCCCTTTAACACGATCAAACACGCCAGATTGATTCCTGGGGAAGTAGTTAATATTCAAGTTAAATTACTTATATCGAAGGAGCAGACAAAATATCTTACAATAATTAATCATTAATAATTAACTGTGGGAATCACAGCGAGGTATGCGAGGTATGCGCTCTGCAGAACTACTCTACAGTCGGAGATCTCCCAACTCAAGATCCAGGAACCTGGATCAACCCCCATATCTAATCAATAATACTCAGAGTCATTACATATTGTGCATACCACAATGAATGCTCAGTCAAGCCATTAGTACCCAGTGGGTATTTACCAGCAACACAGCTTAACTGCTCTAAATACCATTAGATGCAGGAAGAATGACTCTCGAGTCTCTAAACCAGAGACAGTACATTATAGAGGACAGTATAATATTATCTAGAGGACAGTATAATATTATCTAGAGGACAGTATAATATTATCTAGAGGACAGTATAATATTATCTAGAGGACAGTATAATATTATCTAGAGGACAGTATAATATTATCTAGAGGACAGTATAATAATGCGGAAATGTTTCCACGTCCGGTGGAATGTTTCAAGCTTTCAAGCTTTATAACCGTTATATTTTGATAAATTGTTACTTAACCATTCAACCGTATCCAACCGGATATTTTCGAGCAGGGAACTTACACCAAGCCGGCAAGTCGTAAAATACCTCCTAGTTAATGCAAGCGAAATAACGGGTATTCTCTGTGGACGGTAAACGGAGCATATTTGCTTTGATTTTAGCGTGAGAAAATACAAAGTTCACTCGAGAATTAAACAAACTAAATTAGATAACCAAGTAAATTAAAGTTGCATGGATATCTTACTATATATAAAGCGAGACGATATATATATGTGTATATATCCGTGCCATTTTACTGACACCACGGCATCAACTTTAACGCGACTTTCCGCAAAAACTGTAAAACATATACAACTGAAACTTTTTTGACTGGGTCAAATGCTTTAATGGCCTTCAAATCAGCATGAAAAAATAAAAAATTGGCCAAGGAATAATAATTTTAGTGCCCAAAATTTGGACTCTCAAGTGGTGTCAAAAACGCGAATTAAATAGGTAATAATTATTTTAGTCTCTCGAGTCTTGACACCACTTTAGGGTTAGACGGGTTCCTGCTAGTTAAATATAATACCTGCGAGTAAGTTTTTCTGTGCTTTAAACCCTTTCTCGTACCACTCAATAGCTAGATCAAGGTACTCCGTGTTGGTCCTTCCTGAACATTTCAATAGATAATTATAATAATTGAATCAACATGATAGAAAGTTATTTCAGTTTACACCCAATAGTTTGAAAAAAATAAACATAGGTACCTACATATTTTATATTAAATTTGAATATTCGAAACATTGATTAGATTATGCAGAAACATACTGCTAGAAATAAAGAAGCACATATTTTGTGATTGCGGTGTGAACAAGTGAGTAAGTTGTTTAATTAATGAATCTCACATCGTGTAAAAGTTCCATTGTAAAGTTGATATTTAAAGCTAGAGTGATTGTTGACGAACTTATATAATAAAAGCATTCCCAGTTGCAGTGTGTTGTTAATATTACAAGTAGCCAGTAAAACACATCGTACTTAAACGTTTCTCTTACATATTATGCAGAGGCACGGAGCGTTTATCAACATTTTATGCAACTTACCTTAAAACATAAATAAAATTTTGTGTAATAACTAATATCACCCCTAGACTGTTCTCGAATTTGTTAGAATAGCACGACTACTCCAATACATCTATCAGTAGTACAGAACACGTATATTATATGCAGAATATCTGGACACGCTGTGTGTTATCTGTACATTTTAATAAGTATATTGTATTACTCTTATCAGATAGTCTGCCAAGTTTGACAGTTCTCCGGAACATGTATATAACTGTTCCAGTTATTTCTACTCTGAAATCTGGTTAAAGCAAGGTTTTCATAAGTATACCCACGTGAAGATACTACACTCTTAAACAATATAATATAGAGAAAAGGGTAAAAGTCTCCGACAGATAAAAAGGGTGGAACTCTACACTTGATTGTCTGGAAGTCTGGACTAATGTGAGGTTAACTGATAAATATTACCAGACTAAGATCTCTAGCTCTTTACAAGGCCAGACATTTTATATCGCACTATCGTTATAGTATATCACGTTATAATACATTCCAGTCACTGCGAACAAACAATTATAATAAAATATACAGCTTCCCACCCACTTCTCACCGTAGTAATAACACGTGATCAATACACCACCAGACACGTGCAGAGAAAAACTTGAACAATTATATCGATTCCAATATTTGTGGGGCAGGTTCGTAGTGAGTAACAAAGGAAGCACACTTAAAGTTCCTCAGCAGGGGTCTGGAATGTATTATTGGTACATGTATTATTGATATTGTTGCGCTGGCATGTTGTCTGGCCTTGTTGTATATCAGCACAGTTACCATGCCAACCTTTTGTTACCATGCCAACCTATTGTAAATACAGGCACTATGGAATGTCGCCATCAACACAGCCAGTATAATGAATATATAAAACATGCCTTAATAAATACCATGTGTACTGTGCAATATATACTGTGTATGTCTGGTTAACAGTGCAGAATTTAATTTAATTCTTCAATTCAATTAATTGAAATAAACTGAAGTATAATATACCAGATCTAGATAATACACATACCTTTATTGATTAAATTATATACGTGCCAATTATTAATGCCAATTAAGCCAAAAACTTTGCTACCAAGTCCAAATTGATATCAGTGCCTCCAGCTGCAGTGCATTAGTGCAGTACTAGTGCAGTAGTGCACTGTACGATATGGCACGCTAGGACGACTCTTATCACCGGCACGACAAAAGGCCCACCCTATTCTAAGATATTATATAGCACCTTACCACCACCTAAATACAAAGAAAGCCATTAAGAACTACGTCACAACTACGTCAAAAGAACTACGTCACAAGAACTACGTCACAAGAAACATTACCTGAGGCCTCGTATTTGCTCTTGTAGATTCTGCCGCACAAAGATGGTATGTCTGTCAAGTTATCTTTATTTTTCATAAGTTTGAGGAGTATCTCCAGTGCTCGGTCTCTCTCGGAATGATCGTCTGGTGAGTGTCTGATGACGGGGGAGGGGGGAATTAGCGGTTGTAAGACGGATATTGTGCCGGACAACCTATTAATCAATCTAGAATGGATGCTTTGTTATGATGATACGATATCTGGCCATTAAATAATATTGTTCAATCATAAGAATATTTAAGTGGATGGTAACCTCTCGAGCGCGAAAGCGTACAGATACTGTATGTGTTGGTGAGATTTAGCACTGTTGTCCGGGAGACTGTCTACAAAACTGATCATACTCTTGTAATCCTGAATAATTAGAATAATTAGAATAACGGCCCAGTACCAGATATCTGAGTAAAAGTACCAAGATATATGAGTAAAACCGGTAATCGTCTGGGGCCTTCCCTACCCCAGACTCAACTGGAAATTTGGTACCAGCTCTGCGCTCTGGTTAATAAGCTGGCGCCATTAAACAGGTGGGAGATGTCACAATCATTAAATGTAGAAGCTAGAGATCTGCTGCTGTGCAGGTTTTACCTTAATATCACGGTAAGATATCAGCAGATCATGGATAGTATCAGTACAGTACAGCTCTTCGGGCTGCTCCTTTATCATTCTCTCAAACTTCCTCAGCTCCTAGAGATAACATAGTGGTTATCAGCAGTGTTACATTAAACTAATCAAATAATTAGGTAATTGTTTAATTGGGGGGAGCCGATAAGAGGTGACAGTAGAGGGTGACACTACAGTACTGCCCCCGGCCACCTGCCAATACTGTACTGACACTACAGTACTGCCCCCGGCCACCTGCCACTGATCATGTGGAGCTAAGAGTGAAGTTATTTAGCAGATCTCAAGAAGCAACGTGTTAATGTGTCAAACAAGCTTGTCGTGCACATAGTTAAAAACTAATTGTATACATGTGATTAGTGTGATTACATGAATATTGAATAAGTGTAGTTATGCTGAACTTTTATCTGCATTTATGAATGGGATTTCAGCATGCCAAGTTTGACTATTCGGTCGATTCAGGCTCCATCTTTTAGTTTAAAAGGAAGCAGATTGCTGTGATATCAGATACTGAGATGATTCTTGTTGGCAGGTTGCCAGCTGACTTAGAAAGGGTCGGGAATGAAATAAACGAATCTTCTGAAGAATTTATGATATATCTTACACCAACTTCACTGAAAGTAGCTGTTATATGAGACAAGAGAAACGCCATCTTAGGATATAATATAAATAGTATTTATTTACCCGCTTGTAGTTGGTAAGATTTAAATTGTTTTTGGATTCCCTAGCTCTTCGTAAATCTCGATGGAAGAACATTTTCAAATGTTTCCTGAAAAATAGACATGAATAATTTTACGGGCAAATATTATCTACTAAACATACTTATACTAACGCAACAAAAGTCAACACTTCGTAAGTTAAAGCGTGTGATGCTTCATCACTTTTACATTAGAAAATGCTCCGAATAACTATACAGTACCATTGTTTACTTGAATAGAAAAACAAAATAGATAGCGGTATTCAAAATAAAATGTGCAGTTAACATGTTGCTTCTGATTTAAAACTAAATTCCTCACCTTTTAACAGGCTGTAAGTTCTTGATTGTTTCTTTGAACCTCTTCTTAAAGAGGACCTGGTTTTGCCCGTAGTCATCGGATAGCAAGATCTGACCTTGTTCGTTGATTGTGTAGGGAATGAACTTGTACTTGTTAGGGGTAACCTGGGTCTGAAATCGAACAATTCGGTTAGTGAATGTTGTTACAAATTTAACGTCCAGAAATGGTAAGAAATTGAAGTGAGATGATTCATTCATTATTCGTGAGTCGAAATGATTGTTTATTAAAATACCTTGACGATGAGAGTCTGATTTGGATCTCTGTCCCACATAACCACAATACTATTAGTCATCTCCCAAAACATCCTCACTGAAACAATCATTGCATAAATAATAGTGAAATTAAAATTGTCGACCCACAATGACACATTTTTTGGATACAATATAATTTTTGAACACAAGAAATTTACAAGGCATCTTCAAAGTTCAACTGGGAATCTTAAATACCAAAATAATTTTTACCTCCAAGGTTGTAGCTCAGATCTGCACACTGTTCTCTGACTGAGAAATCGACGACAGCCACATCAGCATTACAAAACCTGGACCCTTTGTTGATCTCTAGTAACTCCTCAAACAGGATCAACTCACAATCGTAAGAGTATTTCTGAAAGAACAAATCTGCATTATTGAGACAATATCATGAATAAATAAATGAATTAATCATAGTATCATGTAGTATTCATGAAAACCTGCAATATCCTAAAATGATATATTCAAGCCATTGAAGCATAAAAACAGCACTCTATACCTGATTATTAAATCTCAGTTAGCCCTTGTACCCTTTCATACTAAATATAAACATCTTTTTATCGTGGATAGAACTATATACTACACTTCAACAATGATTAGAAGATCTCTATGGATAATTATAAAACTAGATATGTAATGGAAATTAATATTTATACATTAAAGAAAGCTTAAGACAGCTCTTACCTCCCCAGTGCCAGTAGCAATCTTCTTGACTACTTCCCAAGCTTTTAAAGTCTCGGGAAGATCGTGAAACACCCCAACCAATGTCTTTTGCTTAGGCTCATGGTGAGTAGAGTCCATAACTTCAGTTTGCAGCCTCAAAGATTGAGAACAAGTATCATGTCATAGCTGAGATGTAAAAGATCAATTTAAATTTCCAACAGAGAAAGGAAACAAATTGAATATAAACAGAGAGGTATAATTAACATTTCTTTAGCAATACCAATTTCAAATATCAATTGCAATCATCACCAATACCAATTTCAACACATGCTGTTTTTGGGGTAATGATTGTGTCACTAACTAATTGACAAAACTGGATCAAAGTTTCAGTTCCGTATACTTTGTCTCTGTACTTGTACAAGTGACAATTGTAACAAAACTCAATATTTATTTATTTATTTAGGACAAACTTTAAGATTAAAGTTCAATAAACAAGTCTAAACCAGGACATACCTACACAACACAGGGTAATGTAACTGTAGCTGAAACTACTTGTAACACAACTAAGATTTGTAAAATTTGTCCAACTATCGGCCATTTTGTTTGACCATACATTTTAAAAGCCAATAAAATTTAGGAAAGTTATCATTAGCATATCTTCTCAAATAAAACCTGCGTCAATACAAAAACTATAATCTGTCCCGCCACAAGTTCAGAAAGAAAATCTCTTGAGTTTTGATTCAAATCAAATTGTCTCCGCTAATTTTTATAGTTTCTACAACAATGGACAAGGCAAGGGTTAATTTGATTGATTGGAAGACCCGAGGGACACCCATAAGGGATTAGAATCAGGTTTTCTAAATATAAGTAATTTTCAAATTAGTCATATTTAAAATAATTAAAATCAAAAATATAGTGGCTCATAACAGTCTTTATTGAGTTCTCGCTCATTATTTAACACAATAAACTCTTATTTGATAGTGATAAGGGATAGTGTGAATTGTAAAATTAATTTGATAGTCGACTTTTAAATGGTGAAATTTGGAATTTCATGAACATGAATAGTAATGCCATGAGATGTAACGATTTATAATAAATGTCACAGGTATACCTCAACATTGATTATGTCACAGAAATGTTTAACAAAGTAAATAAACAATAATAAACAAAGTAAATAAATAACAAATAAATAAAAGCAGAGTAAAGTTAGTGATGTTAATTTGGAATATGAAATAATATGGCCTAGATTTTATACTTACATTAAATAACATTAAAACAAAAATTAAAAAGCAAGCATGACACAGAGTATGTTCAATATTTGGGCAGTGGCTGAAAATTCCTCGGTTAAAGTGAAAGGCTGGACTGAGTGGACTTGACATATGTGACTTCTTGATGTTCACAAGCTCTAAAAGTGACTATTGTATTGCACCAAGCCACTCTTTATGAATGCAGAAAGATTCTAATAAATACGTAAACCTACTGCAAACATTTGTATTAATGCTATTAGGATAATGCTATGGACAGAGTTTCAATCCTGTGATATTGGGAGTTAAGTTTAATATACAAAAAGTGAGCTCGTTCTATTATAGCCAATATTAATTATTTAGTTACAAATGGAAATCCTGGAAGATGTTTGATAATAATAACATATCATAGTATCAATACTTAAATATTCATTTTTAGGTTGTATCTTAAGTCCAAATCTATGATTCACGATGTCAATCCTTCGCAGCTCGGCGAGGTAGGCCCAGTGGTGCATTTCGACGATCTACTGTGATTGTGAGAAGAATTATTTGATGCGCAGCGCAGCCCACAGGAGACTAAAGTGCAACGAAACTACTGCTAACTGCTGCTAACTGCTGCTAACTGCTGCAAATGGTGAGCGCAAATGGTGCGCCGCACGACAGCTGATAGATTTGGTACAGCTGATAGATTTGGTACAAAAGTTTAATTTTTTAATGTGAATCAAATATAAGCACAATTAAAAATTAATTGCGCGGCGTTTGGTTAAGCTGCAGGTGCACGCGCATTTTATTTTTTATTTTTTAAAATAATTTGTTGATTAAAAAACGCTTTATCAACTTATATAGTTACCTGGGGACCTCAGGCTATCATGTTTATAATTAACGCCGAATAGAGATTCGGCGGAATGACAGGCTGAGCGCGGCCCAGTAACTTATATAGCAGTGGTAAGTATGTAAATTAGATTCATTTTAATTTGGTTGTTTAGGCCAATAGATTTAAGATAACTGTTAAACTTTAGCTTTATTAAATATATTTTTGATGATGTGTGATGATGTTTGTGTCATTATAATTTGACTCGATTCGATTTGATTTGACAATGCAAATGTCAATTCTTCGGAACTCGGCGTGGTCCATGCCAATAATGCATGTTTTGCTGATTTAACGGTTGCACCAAGTTAAGCATTATTAAATGCGCGGCTCAGTAGTGCATGACTACACTACACATGATTTTGTTGAATCTTTACCTTCAACTAGCTAGTTGCACGGCTCGATCCAATGTTGTAATTAACTTAGCAACACAAAATTACTGCAATATACTATAATTTATTTCATGATCATGCTGGGTTTTTAACCCTTCTAACATAATTTGCCTTGTGCCGATAAACCCAGTAAACATAACAGTAAAGTCTGATAATTTGATTTTTGTTCTTGCAACAACACTTTTACTTTTTAAAGATCGAAGTTAAAACTACGAGCTGGATCAAAAAATTAACGTTTTGCTCAATTGAATCCATGACACAAGCAAATTTGAAAAAGCAATCAAAATATAAATTCTAACGCATGTCAAACTTTAAAACTTGTTATACTAAATTACAAATTAATATGTTTGCACTGTCTAGTAGAAATATTGAAAAATGCAAACATCAAAATATGTGTAGCTCACGAAACTAACTAGAAGTGCAGCTATCATTTGAAAACAATCCCCTTCATCAAAATCAAATTTAATCCAGTGTTGTCGGCCCATCTAACAGGTTCCTCCTATAAAAAATAAAACAAATTTTTGATTTTGGTAAATGTGTGCTGACTCCACCACCTATGTATTTAACCTAATATTTAGTGTATTACAGGTAGACATTGACTTAGGTAGGTATTTTTTCTCTTAGGTATATATTAAGAATTTGGTAGATTTATTAATTGTATGACTATTTCCATTATTGAGACGTTTTTAATATTTAATTTAAGAGGATTTTTGAAATTTTTATAGGACTGGTTCACAGTGTGAACAGATTCCAGATTTATATATTTTTAAACTGATATTTAATAAACGATTAAAAGAACCAATTTTAAAGTTGCCATACTTAAACCTTTAGGTCCAAAAAAATACCCATTATGCTCACTTAAAAACAACTCTAAATTAGTAGGCTGTCATTCTATTAATGCACCACACTGCTACCTCCACTGCACTAAAAGGTATACAATAAATTCTACAATCCTAATTTTGTATCGTGATGGAGACCGGTGTCCATACAAAACATTTACTAGGTTGCCGTTTGGTGTGAGCAATAGCGAACAGCACACACACTCCTTTGCCCCGTCAACCTATATGGTTCCGGACCAGACTTCAACTACTACGGTTCCGGATCAGACTACACCTGCACCCACGACTCCTACCGTTATGGTGGAAATTGACGAAGTACTGAAGGATGTTGAAAATATAATTCTTTCAGAATACCACGAATCAGAGGAAAATAAAGATTGTAGCAGCCTCCTTAGTTTCTTCTCAGGGTCTACCCCCCTTGACAACTTCCTGTTGACTCACTCGCAGAGCCTGCGCTCAGAGGTAGATATCATTAAGCTCAACATCTGTAACATTCTAAAACTTGATGTGAACAAATTTGCAATCATAACGCCATCTATGGTTAAGAGCTGCCCATCTCTTAAAAAACTCACCTTAGCAGAGGGTCTACTATCCCTGCTTGGCCTTGCAGAAAATGTCTGTGCTGTAATAAGTGGCAAGAGATGTGACCACGAGGTTAAGTCCCCTTCTTATTTGTCAGCCCCCTCCAGCATTCCAATGGGTCATACTACTTTTAACGAAAGCTCTATACACAAGTCCTTAGAAGATATTCAAACATCCATTAAAAACTTGAAAGACAATGATAGCCACCTTAGGACTCTTGACTCCATAAACACCAAGCTTGCTGAGCTCAAAGTTGATATTAACTGTTTCAAAAACAGCAGATCCTCAAACGTATCCACTCCTGACCTGCCCATGCCTCCTTTTATCATAGGGCCACCAGCAGCCTGTGAAACAGACCATGAACAGCTCCTGCTAGATGCACAGAAGCCTTCAAGTGCAGACGACCCTAAGTCTAAGCACATCATGTCTTATTTACCAGAATTCATTGATACAACCTTGAACTCTCAGCTATTAGATTTCCTTGCTCAACAGAACGATGATTTTGTCAAGAACACAGAAAACGGGCATGGAGTTATAAGCTTTGGTGAACGATATGATTACCCCGGGGCAAAAGCTGCTAAGCCCATATCAGAAGACCTGCCTGAAGTTCTTGCTGAACTTGCCTCAAGGATAAAGAAGCTTTGCCCTGAAACAGTTATTAATCAATGCCTGATCAACCGGTACAATGATGAGAGCAGTTTTCTCCCTAAACACTCGGATAACGAGAACTCGCTTGTGCATGATAGTTCGATTTTCACTGTATCGTTAGGAAGCCAGTGTTCAGTTAAGTTCTCAATGAAAGGATCAGAAAGTGGGGAAGTCATTGAGACAATAGAGGGACGCAGTCTATATATCATGAGCAAGCAGTCTCAGTTCCTCTGGGACCACAGAATAGATAAGAGCAGTGAAAGGAGGGACGTGAGATTCAGTATAACGTTCCGCTACGTGAGCAGCAGTAGCAATGCAACATTGATTATTGGTGACTCAAATACCCGGTTCCTCCGATTTGGTGCTGGAAAAGGGACATTCGGTCACAAACTGCCTGGAAAAAGACTTGAATGCTTCACAATAGATCAGTTAGACCCTGCCCTTTGTGTAGGATATAAGAATGTTGTAGTACACTGTGGTGTAAATAATATTAAGAGGGGAGGGGGTGATGTTAAACACTGGGCTAATGAGCTGACGAAGAAGCTCACGAATATTTGTGAAATTTGTCCTTACTCTAAAGTTATAGTTTCACCAATCCTACCAACTAGGTCCTCCTGGCTAAATGAGAGAGCCATGGAGTTTAATAGTATATTGTTTGGGTACTGTAATACCAACGCTAGAATAGGAAATTTAGATTTTGATAGTTTTGTCGATGAGGAGGGTCTACTGAACAAACAGTTTTGTAGGTACAAGAAGCCGGATGACCCAATCCACCTGGGGTCAAGCGGTATCTTCAAACTCTCCCGGGCAATTGCCCATAAGATTCTAGGTAGCCCCGTTGATGGGAGGTTGTTCAGTGATGTTACCAAGGCCCAAAATAGATTTTCCCCACGTTCTCGTAGATCTGTAATCCAGTCATGGTAGTCAAACTGATATGCGAAATCTGCTGCTGTTGCGATAGACCTGTGCGTGCTGGACATCCATTTTTGATTTGTCAGATGTGTGACAAAATAATGCACAAAAAATGTAAAACTGATGATAACATAACCAAATTTCGAGATGCAACATACTGCAAAATATGCACTGATGCCAATGATATTGTACGGTACAACCCTTTCTACCAAGCTCCACACTTTGCAAACAATGGCCTCATTGATGATGAGCCAGTTAATTATATTGAATCTATCTACAATAGCTCAAAGATTCTTGAAAATTGCAAAACATTCTCCATAACTGAGTTGAATGCTACCGTCCTACCTAAAAATTCAGCTAAATATTTGTCCAAATTATTCCTAAATATTGATGGAAATGCATCAAACTTTGACAACTTTGCAGTTGAGCTGTCTTGTATCGACCACAAATTCTCTGTTATCGGTCTTGCAGAAACAAATACTAATCCCGAAAATGGAACTCTGTATCAGCTTAACGGATACTCCTCCTGTTACCAATCACGTTATTTTTGTCAAAAGAAAAACCAGTTCAAGGGCAAAGGATCAGGAGTGTGTCTTTACCTGCACAACTCCTTTAACTTTAACAAAATCCCTGGCTTATCTCTCTGTAATGAACACATAGAATCACTGTTCGTATCCATCACTAGCTTGCAAGACCCAACTGTTGTAGGGGTTATATACCGTCCCCCAAACGCATCACTTGAACTGTTCAACGAAGCATATGAATGTATTCTCTCAAAACTGAATGGCAAAAAAGTATATATTCTTGGTGATTTCAATATAAACATGTTGAAGGACCCATCTCCATCAGAGGACAAATTCCAAGAAATAATATTCAACAACGGCTTCATACCAACCATATCAGTACCAACTCACCAAATGCCTGGCTGTTCCAGGACCTGTATTGACAATATCCATACCAATGTAGTAGATCAAACCCTTATTTCTGGTGTGATATCTGACAAGATCTCCCACCATCACCCTATATTCACTCTTATTGAACTTTCCCCTGACTCTGTGCCAACACCTGATTCATCAGACAAAATTACTATACACTACGACTATAGTAATGCTAACTTAGAAAAGCTCTGTCTTGAAATAGAAAACGATGTAGATAGGTTCCACCACAGCTGTAACACATTTGATTCTTTCATGCAGTTATTTCAAGAAAAGATAGATTTGTCTTGCAAACTTCTAACTCCTAGAACCACTAAACGTAACAGCATAACCAACCCTTGGATTACCCAGGGCCTAATTAATTCCATCGATAAGAAAGCTAGGTTGTATTTCGAATGGAAGAAGACTTGTACATTAAAACTACCTGACGGGGACCCAAACAAGCACATCTACTACAAGGAATTCGACAAGTTTCTCAAAAGGTCAATAAATATGGCAAAGGCTATGTGCTATACTCAAAAATTCGAGAAGTACAGCATGAATTCGAAAAAGACTTGGGAAGTTATAAATGAACTCCGTGGTAAAAATTTGTCTAGATGTAAGGACGATTTCGTCATAGATGGCCAGAGAGTTACTTG